TTTTTGTCGCTGAACTAAAACACAAAAATAAATGTGACTAAATGCTGACATATTGATTCACATGATTGATTTAATGGCATACATATAAAGCGGATAAAAAAAGGGCAATGCTATATGTACACCCCTTTTTAATAAATTACACAAAGGGCAATGTTATATGTACACCCCTTTTTTACACACAAGGGGGTGTACATATAGACACCCCCTAAAAAAAATGTGATAAGTAATTTTTTCAAAAAAAAAAATGAAAGAAGAAAAGAAGTATATATATGAGAAATGCTATGGTCCTGTTACGATACCATCCCGTCGAGTGTTTTAATCGTTGGATTATCTATTTTATCTAACTACTTATGGATCCAATAGTTAAAACACCGACCCGACGTACCGTAGCATTTCTATATATATATATATATATGCAACTATGTGTGTGGGCTCGCGAGCATTCACGGAAATAAAAAGGCTGTTGGAAAGTTATTCTTTCTGCTCCAATAGGTAATTTATTTATATTAAAATATGAAATTCTTGACATCACCAAAAAACAGTAACCTTCACACGCACAAATAGGTGTACTGCGTTAATTTCCCCATTGGGTAACCCCGTCAGGTAACTTTCATTTCAGAATGTTGTCAACAGCTTGCTCAGGTAAATCAGAAAATTTACCTAATTACTTTGGGTAATCCCTCCTATATATTAATTCAAAACGTGTTGAGCCTAGGTGACAGATTCTCACACTTCGGATGCTGACATGACAAAAATATATGCTTCGTGATGTTGTTTTTATATTATTTTTGCTCTGGAATTAAGTTTGGTATTAAATATAAATAATTTTACACATATATTCATTAACTCAACACTCATGTTGTACATAGGTACTACTAGTTAGTACGTATTAGACAATCCAAACAATTAAATTGTCCTACCCAGCTCGATTCCGGGTAGGACAATGCAGCAGTGGTCTCGAGTTCGAGCCCTGAGAATGAAGCAGTGTTAGAACTCTTGAAGGAGAGCTTTGCCGCCCTTGTGGTCCTACCTGGCTCGATTCCGGATTAGTTGGTTCCCCTGTGGATCCGGAAACCGAAAGGTCCCTGACCAAAAAAAAAACAATTAAATTGTCATTTTAAAATATATAAATGTGAGATAAAAAAAATAAATAATAATAATAATAATAATAATAATAATAATAATAATAATAATAATAATAATAATAATAATAATTGAAAAAAAATATATAAAAAATAAAATAAAATAAAAAATCTGCTGTAACCGATAACAAAGGGTAGTCAATTCGCTCTCAGCCCTCGAGGTATCGTGTCATAGCAAAAGTGGTCCCTCAAATCAAATACCATCAATTGCAAATAAGTTCCCGTGATTTTCAAAAGAATAAAATAATTGAATTTAATTGTTTCAAGAGAAATTAATTTTATTTATGTAAATAGGCACATTTTATGAGTTACATGTAGTATTATGTCTTCAATGGTACTGCATATCATAAAAGCAAAAAGGCACGGTCATGGGCCGACTCTGCCCATAGACTCGAACCAAATTAGCCTGGAAAGGGCCCGTGGTAAATATGCCTCGAACCGGGCCAGTGATTTGACTGGGTCGGTTCTGGATCTCATATATACACTTTTTGAACCACTGTGTCGGTTCGAACCCAAACAGACTCGATGGTTCAATTATTTTTTTTTTTAGTTTTTTTTAATGAATTGGGTTGTCCCAGAACTGTTGGTTCGTCGAATCGGCCCATGCATATGTTCGGCCGGTTCATGGACGACCAACCCAGGGCCTGGACTCAACGGTTCCGACCCAAAACTGGGCCTGAATGGATTTGGCCATATCTAATAAGAAACGCAAAATTTGAGAGGATTTTGCTCCAACCAAATCTTGTAATCAAACGCAACATGAGATTTTGCTTCTCTCTCTAGGGAAAAAAAAAAAGCAAATATGCATTTTAATGTGCTAAGGCTATCTCCAACCGAAAAATTCAAACTCAAATCCATTTTGCAGTAAGTTTCCCATTTTGCAGTAATTCATCTACAACCAAAAATTGCATTCTAAAACCCAAAAGAATATTCTCGGAATATTCTCTTTTATATCAACTTTCATAACTTTTCAATACTACCTCACATATTTTACAACTTTATAAATTAAACCACACTATTCTTTTTATTTCAATTTGTATTAGTCATTTGTTGATATTTAATGTTAGTGTATTCTTTTCTTGTCAAATAAAAATACTATAAATAATATATATATTTTACATAATTATTGTGAAGTATAAAATTAAATGATAAATAAAATATTTGTTATTTTAATATTATATTATCTAATTTTAAAAAAATGAGAATTTTTAGTAGTTTACATATTGTGAAAAATATAAAATTAATATTCATTATTTTAAATATTATATGAAAAAGATATAACATTAATATATATAAAAATTACACACAAAACATTATTTTAACAAAGATGTGACTAAAATGACAAAAAGCAAAATATGACAAATAAAGGAGGGACTAAAATGAAAAAAAAAAAAGAAGTTCAGACT